CTAATGAAAACCATTGCAGAATCTGAATTAAAGTCTTGAATTTGTTGTTTCTGAAGCCATAATTTAACCAAACCATTTAACATTATTTTTAAAAATGTTTAGATGAACATAGCTTCAGAAATATCAAGAAAGAATATCTAACTTTAGTCTGAATATCTAGACATAACCTAAAAAACCCTTTACATATTTTCCCTATTTTCTTTAAAGGTGTAAGTACAGTTTCTTTCCATTATAGTACTGTATCTGTTTTACACTTATTTTACAATAAAATGTCCTCAGTTGAGATGTTTAGTATCCAGTATTGTGATTCTGAGACTCTTGAAGCTTTATTGATCAAAAGTTGGTTTTACACATCACCATATGATTTGCCTTAGCATGATATGACAATCCATCATGATTTGGCATAAAAACAAGGCAGATCACTAACTTAATATATATGATAGGATATATTATAAAGTGTATAAACAATTGTAGCCTGGGAATTTCTCTTTATTGTGTACATAGATGTTGAGCCATTAAAATACAAATGTGATTAAGGTCAGATATTAAGTTGGGAACCTAACCTTGATAAAAATTTAAAGTATTTTAGAGTCAGCTAAAGTAAGCCAACTAATTTATTCAAAACACAATGAACAAGGCAATCTCGCTCATTAGGAGTATGCAAAACAGGCATATTTCTGCAAGTAGTAAGAGTCACAAAATCAAAATGTTTTGTACCTAAACTCCATTTATTAGTTATGTAGTTAAAGAAAAGTGAATTAATCTATCTTGTAAAGGACTCTTAAATGTTTTTCTGTGAGAAAAAATGACAAATTCTACAAGTTTTTATAGAACCAGTACATAGGATGTACAGACATTTCTCCGTTTTTTGGTAAATACTTAAATTATAAAGCCTATTCTATTTTGAATAACTTTGAGTTTTCCTTACCAAGAAGAGGACATCAATTAGCTTTAGAAATACCTATTTCTGCTAAATTTGTCTCACCACTGTAATTATAAATAAACAGGATAGCTGTTTAAAATTAGAATCTACATCAATAAAAATTTTAGTTGATACTTATAGGAAAACTTACTAGTGTTAACCGTGTTTGATTGTGATGATGCTTCCTTTCACTTAAAGTAAGGAGAGAACAAGCAGAGTCTAATTTAAAAAAAAACAGGCTGGTATTTTTTAAACTTCTTTTCTAGTCTTCACTGTAGTTAAGGAGAAGTGTAAATTCTGTAGTCTAGGGCAATTCACTGTGGCCAAATTGCTGCTGTCACCTCGCTACTGCCAACTTACCGCAGGACAACTCCACACAGCCAATAAGCCATGGGGACATGCCGTGAACAACTGGAGAGAGTGCCAGGTGAGCAGGTGGGCAGAGCATGGTGGGGTGGGTGGTGGGGAGCCGGCAGCTTCCTATTTTCATATGCTGTTGCCGCCGCTGCCACTATGGCAATAGCACCAACTCTGGTGTAGTGGTGGCAGCAGCTGAGGCTATCATGGCAGTGGGTGTTTGAAATGGGAAGCTCCCAGCCACCACCTCCCCACTGGCTGCCCCGACAACTCTGTGCTCTGCCCACCTGCTCACTTGGCTCTCCCTCTGGCTTCCAGGCAAGACAACTGTGGCGAGTTGTCCTCACAGACAGTTGGCTGTGTATAATTTTCCAGTGGCAAGTTGTGTGTTGCCTTTCAGATTTTTTTCATTAATACAATATCATCTCATTTTTCTTGCCCTAAACCAGTAGACATAAAACCAATTTTCATCCCAATGAAAAAGTAAGACCAAATTTAATAAGAAAATATAGAAAATAGTAAAACAATAACACTTTAAACAAATTCTTGATAAATCCCAAGGGTTGAACATCACAGAAAAGTAGCTATCCTCATATGCGCAAGAATTTAAATAGTGAATGGAAAAACTATAGCTAGTAAATTGGTACATTTGGCACAATACAGTACTTCCATGTCCTTTGATTACTACTTAAAATGTAAAAACACATCACATTTTAGACATTCTATTAAAAGTTTTTAAAATAACTTTTTCCCCCATATGTTACATTATATCAAGAAATAAAACAATTTTCTGAACTAGAGTTCAGCAGAACTGTAAGGTTCGATTTGAAGTTGCAGCAGTTCTATGAGAGACTATAACTGAAAACAACTTCTACAAACAACTTTATATATCACACAATGCTAGTTTGCTCTTGTAAAGGTTGTAAAATTAGATTGTACAGGTTAGAAGTGAATTGTATTGTGATGGTTTTACATTTTTATCACTTATGCAGGGGTTTCTTGAGACCCTTTCAAGCATTCTTCCAGAATAAAAAAATTAAGAAAAACTGAAATAGAATAACATACTCCCAAGTCTGTAGACTAATTTATATAGTAAAAATACACTTGGGTTGGAATCCTATAGCTATTTTCTTGGCATAAGTCTCACTTAAGTTGTAAATACAAAGGATTCCCAAGTTTTTTTATTGTACTTCTCTAATTGAAACTTCTTCAAATAATCTTTTAAATGATTTCATGAAAATTTGTTCCAGTTAAATATTTAGCAACTTTTTGATTCACGGCTTTTTTCAATTACATTACATGGCATATGCCCACAAATCACTCAGAAATGCCCATTTAAATTTAAAATTACTATTTTATTAATTTATAACTCACTCCTTGATTCCTTCTTAATGTATGAGTATAGAAGTGCCAGTAGATCAGCAAGACTTGCTTTTGAATAAATTGTCTAGGGTAGAGCTCTGTAGATTTTTTGCACTTAAGTATAAACATTTGCTTATAAGTTGTTCCTTTCATTAATAAAACACCTGACATATGATCTTTCTTATTCAATAATATACATTTACAGTTATTGCATGTACAGTTAGTCCTCAACTTACGACCACAATAGCCCCAAATTTCTGTTAAGTGAACAATTTGTTAAATGAGTTTTGTCCCGTTTTACGACTTTTCTTGCCACAGTTAAGTGAATCACTGCAGTTGTTAAGTGAATCTGGCTTTCCCATTGACTTTGTAATTTAATTTAATGAGTTTATATGCTGCCCAATCCCGGAGGACTCCGGGCGGCTTACAAATAAGAAATAAAATAAAATTACAAATAGGGGAGAGAAACAAAAACAGTTTAAAAAAACACAACATACATTTGGCTTAGCTGGGTTGGACCTGATTTATAGATCAGCAACCCCAGGCCTGTTGGAACAGCCAGGTCTTGGTGGATTTTTGGAAGGCCGTGAGCGTGGGAAGGGTCCGGATCTCTGTTGGTAGCTCGTTCCACAGAGCTGGAGCAGCTACAGAAAAGGCTCTCCCCCGAGTGGTCGCCAGCCGGCATTGTCGGGTCGACGGCACCCGGAGGAGGCCTAGCCTGTGGGTTCTTATCGTATGTTGGGAGGTGTGTAGCAGGAGGCAGTGTCTCAGATATCCAGGTCCAAGGCCATGTAGGGTTTTCAAGGTAATCACCAGCACTTTGTAGGGCGTCCGGAGACCAATAGGGAGCCACTGCAGCTCGTGTAGGATAGGTGTAACATGGGTGTACCGAGGTACACCCAATATCGCTTGCCCGGCTGCATTCTGCACCAACTGTAGTCTCCAAACACTCTTCAAGGGCAGCCCCATGTAGAGTGCGTTGCAGTAATCGAGGAAACATCAATAGCCACTCGGTCTTGTCTGGATTGAG